TAAATGAGAGAGGAAAAAAGACAACAAGAGACTAACCTTAATACTGCCCCAAAGCCAGAAGAAGGGAATGAAAAGGGACTGGGGGCCCTGGGATGAGCTGTCATCAGCCTATGTAGGAAACCCAAACCCCCAATAGGAGATCAGCTGGCTCACCCTACAGGTAGAGTCAAAGTGGACAGCAAGTTTCAGAGCCAGGAACAAGGTAAGAGTGGAAGACAGGAAGGAAGTGGATGGGAAGAATGGGGAAAGCTTGGGCTGCAAGAGTCCAACCGACCCAGTATCCTCCACTGCTTCCCTAAGCCTCGCTCCTTTGCCTGGTGACAGTGAGGACCCAGCAGAGATAATACGAGCATCGGGGAAGTGGCTGGCCCCGAGCAGGCACTTCACCGCCACCACGATCGTTGCTGTTATTGTAACTCGGTGGTACAGGAAATGTTAAGAAGCAAGCAGAACAGTTAGCATTTCAGATAGATGTGCTTACTTCCTTCTCTTTCTCCCAACTGTGGCCTTTCCTGCCCTCAAAAAGAAGCAGGAGGGGCGCCTGGGTGGCTCAGTTGGTTAAGCATACGACTTCGGCTCAGGTCATGATCTCACGGTTCTTGAGTTCCAGCCCTGTGTCAGGCTCAGAGCCTGGAGCCTGCTTCAGATTCTATGTCTCCCTCTCTCTGCCCCTCCCCCTGCTCACGCTCTGACTCTCTCTAAAAAATAAATAAACATTATTTAAAAAACAAAAACAAAAACAGGAAGGAACAACTTTATGCTACAGTCCTCAAGAAGGTACAAAGTGAAAATGACTTAGAGCCGCACGTGTGATTAACCACACATCCCATTTGGCCCCGCCTGCCAAGATGTGTGGATCCAAATGTCATACTCAACCATACCAACCACATTAACCCATTCAGCCAACAACTATGCTTTCCTTTTTGCTTTGTTGTCATCCTGCATTTCAGCTTACACTGTTGAGATGTCTATTGTAAGCCCATCCTAAATCCTTTCTTTGGAATGAGGCAGAGAATAAGCAAATACATGAAAGTATGAACGGTTCTGAACTTTCTGAGGGATAAAGTTATTAAATCTGGTCTCTTTCCCATGACAATGGAGCCTTCCAGATCTTTCCTCCACGCAGCCAGTTATTGGCGCGGACATTATTGGTTACTGCTTTAATGGCAAGAGAAATATATAAGTTTAGACACCATGTGTTTTATAGACATAGGTGATGCTAACTAGGGGTTAACCCTAGCAGCTTTTCATAGTAAACAGGCAATTAGGAAAATCGGAAATAGAAAAGACACATCACCACATAAAAGCAGGTCACAATAAAAATTAGATGAGAGGAATCAAAATTGTTGCCATTCCAGCAACTAATGAAAGTATGTTACTGTAAACAAGCCTCTGGCGGTGCTATAACCCTTCTCAAATGAGGAAACACCCTAAGGGCCCAAACTCTGGCAGGGGGACGTATGCATTTTACTTTGAAGTCAAAGAGCAAGAGCCCCTTTTCATAGGATGAAAATTATGACACCGGTGTCCACATATTTCTAAAGACAAAACTGATCTCTCCAGGCTGTTTACTGTCTTCTGCCCTTCTCTGTCACCAGAGAGTCTTTTTCAAGTTTCCTGTTCACTTCCAGGCCTGTTGTTTCCAAACCAATGATTACAAATGAGAGGTGTGGTCTCAGATGAAAAATACAATTATAGGTCTCTGCACTGTCCTGAGGAGAACCCAGCAAGGAGGCCAATGGCAAAGCAGTGCTTTGCTACAGAAGGCTTTGTATACATTATTGTAACAAGCGAATTTCAGATACAAATTCTCTGCTGGCCTATAAAATTGTTTCTCTAACTTAAACGTAACTGTTTCCCCAAATCTTGTCAACCTGAGGTTATTACTTCCAGGTGTAGGGCTCTGTCACCTCCTCCACACAGGAAAAGCAGCAGCCTCTCCTCAGCTGAAGAACCTTAAGATGCCTGGGAGGTAGGAATTTAACAAAATGTTAGAGAAGGGTTGATTTATAATGGATCTTAGTGCTGATCCTGCACCAAGAACAAGCTGGGGGAAAGAGATGATTTAGTAATTTAAGGGGGACCTGGTGAAAAACAACTAGCTCGGTCATCAGAATCAAGGTCAATTACACCTTGGAGTGAGTATATTTTGACAAGTATCTGCCTTCACTATTCAGCAGAGATGTGCACAAAGGCTACCTGTGGTCCTCCCACTGTTACCCCAAAAACAGATCAGCTGTGATTTTTAGCACAGGCCACATGATACCTATAAAAACTAAGTTATCCAGTGAGAACAACAGTTAGGTCACTTCAGGTTGAGGGAGTAAGCAATCTTGGTTTTTTAAAAAGTGAATATAGTTAAGGTAAACTTTATAGGCTAATTACAATATTACCAAGTTGAATGTACTGAGATAAAATTCACATAGCATACAATTCACTCATTTAAAGTGCAATCCAACAGGTTTAGTATATTCACATTTATCAGTGGCATTTAGTATATTCATATGCAATTGTGAAGCCATCACCACAACTTAATTTTGGAACATTTCTGTCCCTCCAAAAGAAACCCTGTACTCATTAGCGGTCAACCCCCATTTCTCTCTTTTGCCCTTCAGCCCTCAGCAACCACTACTTTACTTTGTTTTCTATACATCTGCCTATTCTGGACATTTCATATAAATGGATTTATACAATATATGTCTGTCTTTTGTGTCGGTCTTCCTTGTCTTCTTCCACTTAGCATCATGTCTCCAAGGTGCATCCACACGGCAGCACACGGCAGCGCTTCATTCCTTTTTTATTAGTGAGTAACACTTCATTGGGTGGATCGACCACAATTTATTTATCCATTCGTCACTAGATGGACATTCAGGTTATTTCCACTCTTTAACTAATACGAATAACACTGCCATAAACATTTGGGGACAAGTTTTTGTGTGGGCACATGTTATCATTTCTTTTGGGTATGTACTTAGAGAAGTGGAATTGCTCAGTCATACAGTTCAAATCATTTAAAAACTGCGTGGCTGCATAGTCATGAAGAAGATGAGAGGTTTAATATTTCTCCACCCCCATCAACAATCTCTTTTAATTCTCTCTTTTCATTCTCTCGTGCCCCAACCACTCTGATGTTATACTCTTCACTCACGCTATACATAAAATACTCCAAGGGTCTGCTATACAAGAGCAACTCAGTGCCAGACAGAATTTCCAAAGGTCACATATCCCAACATCTTGTTTTCAAAAAGGACGGACCTGCAACCATCTAATTCTTAAAAAGTCCCCAAAGAAAGAAAGAATACAATTTCCCTCAGATGCCTCATCTCAAAATATTTTCAAATCACTAACCCCAAGTCATACATGTACATATACTATACAAATACTGAAAAAAGAAGAGTAATGTTTAGGTTTTTAAACAGATTCTGGAAACCATCCCCTGTAGGCCCCATTTCTTTACTCCCGCACTGAACACACCATGTCCCTGGATGCCAGCTAGTTTTACATATCCTCAGTACTGCCATGAACATTTTAATCTAATGTAGTAAATGCAAGTGTGGAAGAAATCTGCTGTCATTCCTGGAGGTATTTTTCTTTTGCTTCAATCGTCTTATTGGAATCTATTTTAAGAGTCAACAAGTGTACCGCACAATTTAACATCCAGAATTTCTGCTGTTGCTGCTTCTGTAATAGCTCAAACTTTCTTTTCTTTCTTAGTTCCTCTGAGAGAGCACATATAAAATGAGTAATTATTGCTGCTAAAGAATTGCTGGAGTCAGCAACGCTTCATAGGAACTGCGTTTCCTCCTCCTCCTTTCCCTCCCACCACAAATCTCCCCCATAAGTTAAGAATTAAAGACACATTGCTAGGATAAAGAAATCTGACCTGAAATATGTGTTGCAGCAACAATGGCAAGCAACCAAGTGTATTAACAATAATTTCCAATGTAGCTGAAAAGGTTAGATGATTTGTCTTTGAAATGAGCCAACTCTGCACACTTTCATGAGATTAAAATCAGCTTGCTTTTCCTTCTGGACACCTCACCTCTCCTATTCCTACTCTCCGCAAAAGGCAGAGTGGTTGAGGCACATAAACAAATAGTTCTGGAAATTAATTTCCTTGACCAGAAGAAAACTCAAAGATAAATTCCATTCTGCATTAGTTTTCCTACACTTTGCTGTGATCAGGATTTACTGTGGTTTCTCTCTGCCTGGAGGGATAATACGTGATTGATAACATTTCTAACACACGGAAGCTTAAATACTGAAAGAATGGCAGCTGTGTGTTATATTCAATTATGACGACCATTACCCACAAACTAGGTAATTTCTGAGCCACAGGAAAGAGGAGGCCATTTTTCATTTACAGTGATGACCTTATGTTAAGTGACTTATCTTGCACCTGTCTGTCACGTGTAAAAGCAGGATAATAACAGGACTTCATAGGCTAAGGTATAAGTGCTTCATATAGTGCTGAGGACAGATGAAATACTGTGTCACTATGAGCCTGGCTCATCACCATCACCTAGACCAGCACTACCTTCGAGAAGCTGCGTAGGTAGCATAAGGAAGTGCTGCCATCTTTATTACAGAGTGTTCTACCGACTCATTCTGCAGAGGCAGCAGGTTCATAAGACAAAGCAAAGAAAGAAAAAAGCCAGGTACACAGGAGGAGATGAGAAAGACATTTTACAATTACAGAAAATGGCAACTTATTTTTTCACAGCCATGTTTAGAAGACGACGTTCTTAAGACATTCTTTCCAATACGGGCAGCCAGGAAAGTTACAAGGCTGAAAAATCTCTCCAGAATGAAGTCCTAGACTTGCCCAGTCTAGAGAGCAATCTGTTATTGGAAATCCTTCTCTTGAGTGTACACTGTGTCCCCTCTTCCCCACTTATGTTCACACATGAGCATCCTTGCTAAACCCAGAATGGAGAAAAAGAGAAGTATCTTTACAAACTCAGAGGGGCAGCGAGTAGAAGGATGGCACCTGCGCCTACCTCTCTCTGAGTCTGGTCGGGCCCTGCGTCAGCAGCACGGAGGTTCAGGACGTGCACCTCCTGCGGCAGCCCCATTGTGCCTCGGCTGGCACACCCCGACAAGACAGTGAAGCTCTCCATTAACGCCTGGACAGGATGGGAGGCGTTGACAGGCGACAACTCACACTGGGTCCCAGGCTCCGGATCTGCAGAAAGAATCACAAACGCAAACCCCTCAGAAACAGCAATTAATTGTGCTACAGTTAAATTAATTATCCTGGATGATCAAGCCACTGCCAACGCACCAGAGGAAACTTTCCAGGTTAAGTTCTTTCCAGAACTAAGTGGCAAAAAAGCTTAGCCTATTCTAAAACCCCAACATCTTAAATTCCTTTTAGATGATTTTGATGTGTATCTGATTATTTCAATTCCCTTTTAGATACACAAGTCACAAATGTATTCCTCTGGATGGAGGAAACCTCCTGTTTGACATCTGTGTTCAATTCCTTCCTCTTTTAGAAGAAAACCAGAAGTAAATGGAATAAATTGCCTAAAGCCCAATAATAGTATGCATAAATAATATTAAACACCTAAAACTGCACCATAAAGTATAAGATACAGTCCCAACTTTTTAAGCACTCCCCCCTTCTTAGAGAGCGAAACAAACTTAAAAACAATACAAAGCAAGATATAATGAGCAGGGGTAATTGGGGGCAGAGGTCAGAAAAATCCTCCCAAGAGACTGGGAGAAATGTATGAGTAGAACTTCAAATAGGAAAAGTAGAACCCTGGACATACCTGGCTCCTGCTTCCTCATTCTCCCTTCCTCTAATCATCAAAACTTAAATCCTAACATCCATTCCTACTCAGCTCTCCCTTCTGTGGTCCTCATCAGCTCTGCCTCTAGACAACTGTAGATCTTCCTAAAAAGAGATTCTGGTATCCAGCTCTCGAAGCCACCTTCCATGCAAGCACCACCCACGTCACCCAAGGTGCTCAACAGGATGGTTATTCCCAATATGAACGCCTGCCCCTCCCATCTCTGTGGGCATGTCCTGTCCCTTAAGGACTGCTGGTCTATGAAGCTCCTCAGCCAGACACACAAGGCCTTTCTTGATCGGTCCTTTCCACTCTCTCCAGCTTCATCCCTCCCTGCCCAGCAACCCCAACTGGCTTACAGTTCTCCAAAGATACCATGTTTCTTAACTCCATGCCTCTATTCAAGTTTGTTTCCTTTACCCAAATTCCTCTTCCACTCTGACACTGCCCCGACAACAAACACCCCAAGCTGAGGGAGGTACTCTTCCTCTGTCCTCTCATAATTTCTCTGCCCATCTCTGCGGCTTCATTGTCTACACTGTAACCACCAGTGTATATACATCTGTCCCTGCTAGTACAGTATGAACCGCCCCCCACCCCCCACACAAACTGTGGGCTATTCATCTTTGTGTCCCCGGCACCCATCACAGTATCTGGCATGTAGAAGATGCTCAAAAAAATATTTGTGAAGGGAATCACTGGGCTTTAAAAAAAAAAATGTCCCCTCCCTGACTGGTGATTAGGGGCACCACTCCCCAGAATGGATTTCCCCAGACTTGGATTTGGCTGTAAGGAGTTCATGTAGGAAAGAGTGATGTGAGGTACAACTTGGGCCTCATTGCACACTGGCTGGATTGACAGAGAGAGACATTTAAGAAGGAGGAGGAACCCATGATACATCTCTGCAAGCTTGGGGCTGTCTCCATTAGACACCTGAGGAGACTGAGACTTGATCACAGCCTTCCAAGTGGAACCCGATAAAAGAGCTGAATGCACTCCCAATGAGTTCTTCCTGATTTATACATAATAAAAGTACTCTCCAGGATTACAGCCCCAGTGCAAAATTAAAAATGCAAATGTCGTTCAGAACCAGGCAACCTTGCACCCCCACTGCTGTACTATATAAACAGATACCCTGCCTGGTGTGCCAAGTCTATTTCAGAACTCATGGAAATTATCTAGGTTGATAATAATTGTCTGGTCTGAAATGAAGTATGTACCTTCTCAAATAATCACTGCAGCTCTCTGTACTGCTCTGTGCCCAGCTCTTTCCGAGAAACGGAGGTGGTGAAGGAAGATGTCATAAGTGGCAAAGGCAGCAGGTACTAGACAGGATTCCCTGAAGTCCCCATGTAGGGCAGACAGTATGAGCAGGTACCCCACTACTGTTTCCCCTCCAGTCCTCACCAGCTGCACAGGGATGTCGGTATATCTCACACCCCAGAGCTCCTGAGTCTCCTACTACTCCCTACTCACCTTTGGGCACACTCAACTCTGGGGAACTGGTTTCATAGCCTCCTGCCGCGAATTTGCCATTATCACAAATTGAGCACAAATAAAAATGCTTTTCAGGGTAGAGGGATGGTTTAAATAGTTGAAGGGGATTAAGGAATGCACTTGTGATGAGTACTGGGTGTTGTATGGAAATGTTGAATCACTATATTGCACACCTAAAATTAATATTACACTGCATGTTAACTAACTGGACTTTAAATAAAAACTGGAAATGGGGCACCTGACTGGCACCGACTCTTGATCCTGGGGCTGTGAGTTTGAGCCCCACAATGGGTATAGAGATTACAGAGAAAAACTAAAAAACAAACAAACAAACAAAAAAACCAGCTCTTCAGCACCAGCACCACGTTTGTATGTATGTGCAAACCTCCAAATGGCCTGTGGTTCAACCCGAAACACATCTGCAATCTGCCTGACTTGCCCTCCTCCTTACAATGCCACCATTACCCATTAGGATCTCCCTTAAATCACCACACTAGGGCTAGAGCAAAAATTCACTGGCGAAAAAATCAGAGGATAAAGTCTTTCCTAAAGGTGGAGGGGAATCAGGGGACACCCCCAGTGCTAAGGACAAGCAATCCTCACCTTAGAATCTATGGTTTCTATCTTGCCAGAGTCCAGGGCAGGGAAGATCCCACTTAATGGGCTATATAGTTCCAGCCAGGTGTTATAGGAGTCAGCCAAAGGTCAAAGACAAAAGAAAGGAATGCACAGGGCACACTCTGATCAACTGATCCAGCTGCACTTCACAAAGACTCACTCCATATAGATTATGTGATTAAACACACTCCATATAGAGCATCTCTGACCATCAAATACACCAGAGTAGTAGTTGGTTTTTGAGGTTCCTTAATGAATTTTTTTCCTTTAGGTTTAAAAAAAGCTACAAAATATGATTAAGCTAAAAAAAAAAAAAAATGATTAAGCTATCCTTGAAGCCAAAAAGAAAGAAAACAAGAAAGCAAAGAAATTAGGAATTATCTATCCTTATTTTCTAAGAGTATATAGGAATGGTGGCTTCAACAACTGAATACACAATGTCCATCTGGGATAGTAAAAAATAAATTGTTCCTATTTATTAAGTGCTCACTACAGACTCGGCAGTGCTGGGTCTGTATAACCTTGAACACCATCATAAGGAATTGGTATTATCCCTATTTTAAAGAAAAGGAAAATAAGTTTAATGCACTTAAGTTTAACTGTTGTAAGCTCACCCACGGACTGACACTCCCACCTACCTCTGGGGCTCACGTCTCTGTATGGTGAAATTTTCATAAAAACACATTGGATCTAGACGGGTTCACTGGCAAATTCTACCAAACATTTAATGAAGAAATTATGCCTATTATCTATAATCTCTTTCAGAAGATAGAAGCAGAGGGAATGCTTCCTAACTCATTCTATGAAGTCAGTATTACCCTAATACCAAAACCAGGCAAAGTTATTGCAAAAGAAGAAAAAGACTAATATCCCTCATGAACACAGATGAAAAAATACTCAACAAAATATTAGCAAACTAAATCCAACAATGTAAAAAAGAAATGTGTGCCACAACCAAATGGGATTCATCCCAGATCCATAACGTCTGAAAATCAATTGATGTAATCCATCTTACCAACTGGCTGAAGAAAAATCATATTATCCTATCAACAGATGTAGAAAAAGCATTTGACAAAATCTAATAGTCACTCATGATAAAACTCTGAGCAAACTAACAGATAGGAACTTCCTCAACTGGATAAAGAATATGTTAAAAAGGAAAAAAAAAAAACCCTATAGCTAACATCGTATTTAATGATGAGAAACTAGAAGCTTTCTCATTAGCATCAGGAATAAGGCAAGGATGTCCCTTCTCACCATTCCTTTTCAATACTGTACTGGAAGTCCGAGCTAATGTTTGCAGCTAGGTATCCCCATGTAGCCAAATTCTGATTAAGAAGAGATAAACAAAGGCGATACATGCAATTTCCAAGAGATTTTTTTGAAGGGAAGGAGTTGTGCCCCTTCCCTCCTTCTTGTGTGCATGAAGACAGATGTGATGAGTAAGGCCAGAGCAGCCATCTTGGGCCATAAAATGGAAACAACATGCTGAGTGGGGCAAAGCAATAAGACAGAAACTGCCAAGTTCCTTGATGAACATGGAGCTACTGATCAGCTTTGGATTACTTCTTTTTATAGAACACATGTAACTTCTTTTCAAGCCAATATCATTTTGAGTTTTCTGACACTTGCAGCTTAATCTACCTCTTTTTTATTTCATCAAAAATGCCAACCCTCTTCCCACCAGAGACTCCACATACAAGGTGTCCTCCAGGAAGACTTTCCCACCATTCCTGTTCCTCTCCCCTGCCATGGTATGGCAAATTCCTACTCATTCTTCAGATCTCTCAAAAAAACTTCTCTTACTTCTCTTATATTAGGTATACATTTTTAAATACTCGCATGGTACTCTTCACTTCTCTTCACTGCAATTCATGTGGTCATACTTATTTAATTATTTGTCCAACGATTTGTTTAATGTCTACATACACCCAAAGACTGCAAACACCACAGAAGAATGGAGCCCTATCATTCTGATTATTGCTGTATTCCAAAACATCTGGCATACAGTACACAGTCAAATATTAATGAGGAAAGGGAGTGGGAGAGGAAAGGGAAAGAACCACAAGATGCTCAAAGGATGTCGTACAGGAGCACCCGGGTGGCTCAGTTGGTTAAGCGTCCGATTTTGGCTCAGGTCATGATCTCACGGCTCCTGAGTTGGAGCCCTCATCAGGCTCTGTGCTGACAGCTCAGAGCCTGGAGCCTGCTTTAGATTCTGTGTCTCCCTCTCTCTCTGCCACTCCCCTGCTCGCACTGTGTGTGTGTCTCT